AAAAAAAAAAAGAAAATAGTTTTCTTTTTCCATAATATAATCTACCCCTCTATACTTTCCTTTTAATGTTTTTTATTTCTTATTTATTTTGAGTCGGAGTCTCCCTGTTGCCCAGGCTAGAGTGCAGTGGCATGATCTCAGCTCACTGCAACCTCTGCCTTCCGGGTTCAAGCGATTCTCTTGCCTCAGCCTCCCGAGTAGCTGGGATTACAGGTGCGTGCCACCATGCTCAGCTAATTTTTTTAAAATTTTTAGTAGAGACAGGGTTTCGCCATGTTGGCCAGGCTGGTCAACTTCTGACCTCAGGTGATCAGCCTGCCTTGGCCTCCAAAGTGCTAGGATTACAGGCATGAGCCACCATGCCCAGCCTATATTTTCCTTTTGATGCTAGTTTCTGAGAAATTCAGAGAAAAACTAGCACTTAGTCACTATAATGATATTATTCATATAAATGGAATACTAGCTTCACTATGTTTATTACTATTATTATTATTCTGTCTCCTTATATGTATCATTTAATTTAAACAGTCTTAAACCACAGCCATAGAGTGATAGGGACCAGAATTATTTTACCATCTTAAACAATTATAAAATTGGACAAAATATATAAAGAATGGTTTCCAGACAATGGGCAACATCAGCCCAGGACACTGATCCCTGAGAGAAGGGAAGCAAAGAAAGTGAGCCCGATGACTGCCCTCGTTCATGACCTGGAGAGAGTTTTCAGGCGATTGCAGGTGTAGCCCAAATGAAGGCTGGCATCTTACCGGGTGGAAGAAACATAGTTCAGGGTTCAGGGGGGCCAACACGGCTGGAATTTTCAAGGCAAAATACCAGAGGGGAGGAAGTTACACAGAGAGGGTTCCAAAGATCTGCAGAGGGGTTCTCTCTCAGGTCTTTGGTAGAGTATGATATATGTACGTGTGAGGAAAATACCAAAGCCTGGGGCAAGAACCACCAGAAAGAAGTAGGGGGAACAACTCCCATGGTTCATAAAGGACTGGGAATAGCTGTGTTCCCACTAGCCAGCCTGGGAGGATCTCCTAACACACAGGGCAACAACTAGAATTCTCAGAAGTGTATTGTCTTCGTACAATCTGTATTGTACACTTAGTACAATACACATAGTATAATACAATAAGGGGTTAAATTATCATAAAGGCTGCTGTAGAACCACACTAACAAAGCTGAAAAGCCAGGATCAAAGGAACTAAACTAATTCCAAGTAACTTAACTGCATCCCAGAACAAAGCCTACCTAAGGAATAAAAAATCTGGCACTCAGCAATGTAAAATAAAAATGTTCAGCAGCAGGCCGGGCGCGGTGGCTCACGCCTGTAATCCCAGCACTTTGGGAGGCCGAGGTGGGTGGATCACGAGGTTAAGAGATCGAGACCATCTTGGTCAACATGGTGAAACCCCGTCTCTACTAAAAATACAAAAAATCAGCTGGGCATGGTGGCGCATGCCTGTAATCCCAGCTACTCAGGAGGCTGAGGCAGGAGAATTGCCTGAACCCAGGAGGCGGAGGTTGCGGTGAGCCGAGAACGCGCCATTGCACTCCAGCCTGGGTAACAAGAGCGAAACTCCGTCTCAAAAAAAAAAAGAAAAAAAAAAAAAAAATGTTCAGCAGCCAGTCAAAAATTGCCAGGCAAATTCATATGAGGAAATATTATTCAGTCATAAAAAGGAATAAAAAACTGATTCATGTTATATCATGAATAAACCTCAGCCGGGTGCGGTGGCTCATGCCATCACTTTGGGAGGCCAAGGTGGGTGGATCACCTGAGGTCAGGAGTTCAAGACCAGCCTGACCAACATGGCGAAACCCTGTCTCTACAAAAAATACAAAAAGTAGCCGGGTGTGGTGGCGGGTGCCTGTAATCCCAGGTACTCAGGAGGTTGAAGCAGGAGAATTGCTTGAACCTGGGACGAGGTTGCAATGAGCCGAGATCATGCCATTGCACTCCAGCCTGGGTAAAAGAACAAAACTCCGTCTTAAAAACAAACAAACAAAAATAAACATGAATAAACCTCAAAAACTAAAAGAAGCCATACACAAAGACCATATGTTGTATGAAATGCCAATACAGGTAAATCCAAAGAGACCAGGAAGTGAATTAGTGCTTACCAGAGAGAGTCTGAGAAGAAGGGAGAATGAGGAGTGGTGATTGCTAGTGAGTGTGAGGGCTTCTTTGGGGTGGGTGTGGGGGGAGGTTGATGAAAATGTTCTGGAAATAGATACTGGTGATGATTGCACAGCTCTGTGACTATACTAAACACCACCAAACTGTGCTCTTTTAAAAAATGACTTTTACCAGATGTGAATACCTTAAAACACACACACACACACACACACACACACACACACACACACACAAACTTACCAGGCATGCAAAGAAGGAAAACAATATGGCTTATAATTAGAAAAAAAAATCAATAGAACAGGCTGTGAGTGGTGGCTCACACCTATAATCTCAGCACTTTGGGAGTCCAAGGCAGGCAGATCACCTGAGGTCAGGAGTTCGAGACCAGCCTGGCCAACATGGCGAAACCCTGTCTCTACTAAAAATATAAAAAGTAGCTGGGCGTGGTGGTGTACACCTGTAATCCCAGCTACTTGGGAGGCTGACGCAGGAGAATCTCTTGAGCCTAGGAGGCAGAGGTTGCAGTGAGCCAAGATCGTGCCACTGCACTCCAGCCTAGGTGACAGAGCAAGACTCTGTCTCAAAAAAAAAGAAAAGAAAAACCAATAGAACAGATCCCCCAAAACAGAGGTAACAGAGTTAGAAGACAAGACCATTAAGACAACTATTAAGATTTGTCCTTGGCTAGGCACAATGGCTCAACCTGTAATCTCAGCACTTTGGGGGGTCAAGGTGGATGGATCACTTTAGACCAGGAGTTCAAGACCAGCCTGAGCAATATGGTGAAGCCTTGTCCCTACTAAAAATATAAAAATTAGCCAGGTGTGGTGGTACATGCCTGTAATCCCAGCTGCTCGAAAGGTTGAGGCACAAGAATTGCTTGAACCTGGGAGGCAGGAGTTGCAGTGAGCCAAGATCATGTCACTGTACTCTAGCTTGGGAGACAAAGCAAGACCCTGTCTCTGGGAAAAAATTTTTAAAAGACAGAGGAAAAAAAGACACACAGACACACACACACACACACACACACACACACACACAGCATTAGTAATTTGCAGGACAACATTAAACATAATATTTGGTGTAATTCAAATTCCCAGAGAGATCTGAGAGGAGTACAGAAATAAAGATAATATCTGAGAAATTTCCAAATATGGCAAACACTATAAACCCACAGTTCCAAAAAGCAGAAAAAAATTAAAGAAACCAACACCACACCAAGGCAGATAATAATCAAATTTCTAAAAACTAATAATAAGAGAAAAATCTTAAAAGCAGCCAGAGGGAAAAATGGTATACCATTTATACAAGAACAAAGATAAAAATAACAGCAGACTTCTCATCCAAAATGACATAAGCCAGAAGACAATGAAATGTTTTTAAAGTACTAAAAGAAATAAATGTCAACCTAGAATTCCATACCCAACAAAAAATATCTTTCAAAAAGGAAGATGAAGTAGATAGACATTTTCAGACAAATGAAAGCTAGAAAATTAATTGCCAGGCTGGGCGCAGTGGCTCATGCCTATAATCCCAGCACTTTGGGAGGCCAAGCCAGGCAGATCACATGAGGTCAGGAGCTCAAGACCATCCTGGCCAACGTGGTGAAATCCTATCTCTACTACAAATACAAAAAAAATTAGCTGGGCATGGTGGCGGACACCTGTAATCCCAGGTACTCAAGAGGCTGATGCAGGAGAATTGCTGGGAGGCAGAGGTTGCAGTGAGCTAACAGCATGCCATTGCACTCCAGCCTGGGTGACAAGAGTAAAACTCCATCTTAAAAAAAAATGAAAATTAATTGCCAGTAGACCTATACTATAAGCAATAGTAACTAAAGTTCAGGCAGAAGGAAATTTTCACTGAAATTTTGATCTACATAAAGAAATGAAGACCACCAGAAATGGTAAATATGCAGGTCAATATAAACCTGCTTCAAACCATTCTGGGAAAGAAACAAGATATGAATAGATAACAACAAATATATACATACACAAGTTGGGTGGAATCAGAGGAAAAAGAGGGTTCTGATTTTCTTATAGTAGCTCTCAAATCTACATGCCCTTAGGTAAGGTATAACCCTTTTTGGAAAAGGAAGATGCAAAAAATTGTTAGCAGGGAACAATTTCTTATGGGTAACTGATAATTTTTCATTTCATTGGCCCTAGAAGCCACTGTGGGCAGAACTGAGGGGAGGCAATATTATGGCCACTCTAGACCAAATCTACCAACATCTGCTAACCACACTCACCTCACTTCTGTCTGACAAGACCAAGATACATTAACTATGGCAGAAATGAAGTCAAGATTTATTCTTCTATCTCTCTTCCTTCTTCCTCACATATCCAGCCCTTCATTAAGTTCTAGCAACTCTCCTCCTTAAATACCTCTGAAACCCATTCATTTCTCTCCACTTCCATGGCCACTGCATTAATCCAAGCCTCCCCGATCCCTCAGATGACTGCCTCTTAACTGATCTCCCTGCTTCTGCTCCTACCCAACCCATTCTTCATAATACCTACACATAGATATTTCTAAAATGTAGATTTGATCATGTTCTTTCTTTCTTGAAACCTTCCATGGTTTCTCACTTCCCTCAGAATAAAGTTCAACATCCTGAACTCAGCCTATAAGGCCTTCCTGATGTGGCCTCAGCCACCCTCCCTGCTCACTGCGCACCACCCTCCCTGCACTCTGCCCTCATGACCCTACCCATATGGAGATTTCCTCAGAAGCACCATGCTCATTCCTACCTCAGTTCCTCGTACATGCTACTCTCTCTGCCTATAACCATCCTCCCTCACTCTTCAGCTACTTAATTCCAATTCAGACTTCAGGGCTCAGTTTAAATGCCATTTCCATCAAAAAGCCACTAGATTTGTGGTAAATTGTTGAGCAGGAATAGGAAACCAATAGGCATGGGATAAGTAAGACAAGAGACTGAACACACAAAAAAAGCAAAGGGCTCACTAGGATAAAGGTGAAGGGGATCCTTGGATGGCAGCTGAATAGAAGGTAACCAGGTTAGAGTAGAGCAGGTCAGAAGACCCAGAGAAAGTTGTTTCCAAGAAGACAAAACTGATAGATTATCTGATGGGTTTTTGTGTGTTTGTTTATTTGCTTGAGACAGGGTTTCAGCTCTGCCACCCAGGCTGGAGTGCGATGGTGTGAACTTGGTTCACTAAAACCATAACTTCCAGGGCTCCAGCAATCCTCCCACCTCAGCCTCCTGAGTAGCTGGGACCACAAGTGTGCACCACCACACCCAGCTAATTTTTGTAGTTTTGGTAGAAATGGGGTTTCACCATGTTGCCCAGGCTGGTCTTGAACTCCTGAGCTCAAGTGATCTACCTGCCTTGGCCTCCCAAAGTGTTGGGATTATAGGCATGAGCCATGGTGCCCAGCCTATCTGATGTTTTTGAGTGTATTAAAAGGAGATTTAAACAAAAGAGGAAGAGCTTGAGAAAAGATGAGAGATAAACACATAGAAAACTAATCAGACAAACAAAAAAAGATTAACTCCAGGAAGTACAAAAGATTATGTAAAAAAAGAAAGTAATCATAATATACAACATAGCTCAGCTGTAAATAAGAGTTACACTAACATAAACACTGAATATTGATTTAACCATAACTGAGATATAAATATACTAAGGAGATGGGAAAATAAAAATGTACCTGGGGGAATGATAGCAATGATATAAAAGAGAGTAAGATCCTCTTCCACACATGTGAGAAGTAGATATATGATGTCTAAAACTGAAAAATTACAAATTCCCATATATTAGTTAGAAATATAAGGGCGGGGCATGGTGGCTCATGCATGTAATCCTAGCACTTTGGGAGGGCAAGGTGGGTGGATCACCTGAGGTTAAGAGTTCAAGACCAGCCTGACCAACATGGTGAAACTCCGTCTCTCTTTTTTTTTTTTTTGAGACAGAGTTTCGCTCTTGTTACCCAGACTGGAGTGCAATGGCGCGATCTCGGCTCACCGCAACCTCCGCCTCCTGGGTTCAGGCAATTCTCCTGCCTCAGCCTCCTGAGTAGCTGGGATTACAGGCACGCGCCACCACACCCAGCTAATTTTTGTATTTTTAGTAGAGACGGGGTTTCACCATGTTGACCAGGATGGTCTTGATGTCTTGACCTCGTGATCCACCCGCCTCGGCCTCCCAAAGTGCTGGGATTACAGGCGTGAGCCACCGCGCCCGGCCCGTCTCTTTTAAAAATACAAAATTAGCTGGGTGTGGTGGCACATGCCTGTAATCCCAGCTACTTGGAAGGCTGAGGTAGGAGAATCCCTTGAACCCAGGAGGCAGAGGTTGCAATAAGCTGAGATTGCACCACTGCACTCCAGCCTGAGTGACAATAGTGAAACTCTGTTTAAAAAAAAAAAAGAGGGAGAGAGATCCAAGATGGCTGATTACTAGCAGCTCAGGATTATAGCTCCCAGTGAAAGCGCAGAGAACGAGAGGACGCCACACTTTCAGACGAATTTTTGTTGCTCACGGACCAGGAGATTCCCAGCGGAGGAGCCCCACGGGTCACCAACGCGACTCTTGTGGCCGCCGCGGCTGCCAGTGTCCCAGCACGGCGGTTCTTGGTGCAGAATAAACGGGACTGGGTCCCCTTTTGGTCGATGTTTGGAGCTCCGGGAAGGCAGAGTCACCTATTTAGCTGATTGAAAAAGGGACTCAAGAAGGAAGCCAGACCGGAGATTCCAGGGCAGAAAAGCACCAGGAATCTTAATGCCGCTGTTTTGGCCGGCACAGTGGGTTGCTCAGATTCTGGCGCTGGGAATCAACAAGTTGGATGTCCACTCAGAGACCTAATTTGAAAGTCGGTAATTACAAAGATGACAGGTGGATAAATTTACAATGATGGGAAGAAACCAGCATAAAAAGGTTGAGAATACCCAAAATCAGAATGCCTCTCCCTCTACAGGGGATCACAGTTCCTCATCAACAAGGGAACAAGGCCTGATGGAGAACAAGTGCGTTCTATTAACAGGTTTAGGCTTCAGAAGGTGCATAATAAGAAACTTCTGTGAGTTAAAAGAACATGTTCTAGCGCAATGTAAAGAAACTAAGAACCTTAAAAAAAGGTTTGACGAAATCCTAATGAGAATAGACAATCTAGAGAGGAATATAAGTGAATTAATGGAACTGAAGAATACAATACGAGAATTCCGCGAAGTATGCACAGGTTTTAACAGTCAAATTGATCAAGCAGAAGAAAGGATATCAGAGGTCGAAGACCAACTTAATGAAACAAGAAGACAAGATCAGAGAAGAAAGAGTAAAAAGGAATGAGCAAAGTCTCCAAGAAATATGGGACTATGTGAAAAGACCTAATTTACGTTTGACAGGTGTACCTGAATGTCATGAAGAGAATGAATCTAAGCTGGAAAATATTCTTCAGGATATTATTCAGGAAAACTTTCCTAACTTAGTAAGGCAGGAAAATACTCAACTTCAGGTAATACAGAGAACACCACAAAGATATTCCTCAAGTAGAGCAACCCCAAGACACATAATCGTTAGATTCACCAGGGCTGAAATAAAGGTGAAAATTCTAAGGGCAGCTAGAGAGAAAGGTCAGGTTACCCATAAAGGGAAGCCTATCAGACTCACAGCAGATCTCTCAGCTGAAACCCTACAGCTGAAACTAGAAGAGAGTGGGGGTCAATATTCAATATCCTCAAAGAAAAGAATTTTCAACCCAGAATCTCATATCCAGCCAAATTAAGCTTCATAAATGAAGGAAAAATAAAAATTTTCATGAACAAACAAGCACTCAGAGATTTCATCACCACCAGGCCTGCTTTACAAGAGCTTCTGAAAGAAGCACTATACACAGAAAGGAACAACCAGTATCAGTCATCCCAAAAACTTACCAAAAGGTAAAGAGTATCTCCATAATGAAGAATCTTTATCAACTAATGGGCAAAATAGCCAGCTAGCATTAAACGACAATATTAAACTCACAAATACCAATATGAATCCTAAATTTAAATGGATTAAATGCCCCAATCAAAGACACAGGCAAATTGAATAAAAAGTCAAAACCCATGGGTTCGCTCTCATAAGCAAGGACACACAAAGACTCAAAACAAAGGGTTGGTGGAAGACTTATCAATCAAATGGAGAGCAAAAAAAAAAAAGAAAACAGGAGTTGTAACTTTCGTCTCTGACAAAATAGACTTTAATAGTAACAAAGACTAAAAGAAACAAAGAAGGACATTACATAATGGTAAAAGGATCAATGCAACAGGAGTCAATGATCATAAATACATATGCACCCAATATAGGAACACCCAGATACATAAGACAAGTTCTTAATGACTTATAAAGAGACTTAGGCTCCTGAACAATAATAGTGGGAGACTTTGACACCACATTGTTAATATTCGACGGATCAACGAGATAGAAAATTAACAGGGACATCTATGATTTGAACTCAGACCTGGAACAAGTAAACTTAGTGAATATTTATAGAATTCTTCACCCCAGGTCCACAGAACATACAGTTTTCTCAGTATCATATTACACATATTTTGAAAGTGACCACATAATTGGAAGTAAATCACTCTTCAGCATTTGCATAGCGTTTCACAGACTTAAATGAAATATTGGTTGGCTGCTTGTTTGTTATTTTCTTCCCTTATTCCTTCCTGTCTCCGCTGTTAAGTACAATTATCGGCCTAAAAGAGGTTTTTAATACCTATTTTTAGATTGCATTCCTGGGCAATAGAGGAAGACTCCTGTTCTCTCTCCCCCTTTCTCTTTCTCTTTCTTTCTTTCAAAAAAAAAAACAACAATTATCCAGCCTGGGCATTATAGCAAGACTCTGTCTCTACAAAAATGAAAAAAATTAGCTGGGCACTGCAATGCACACCCATAGTCACAGCTACTTGGAAGGGTAAGGCAGGAGGATCACTTGAGTCTAGGAGTTAGAGCTTACAGTGAGCTATGATCCCACCACTGCACTCCAGCCTGGGTGATGGAGTCAGACTTTGTCTCTAAAAAAAAATAAACAACAAAACAAAACAAAACAAAAAAAAGAAAAAAGAAATATAGAGATAAATACCAGAAAAAACTCACTGAGAGTTCAAAGTATTTGCTTCCAGATATGGGAAATGGATTGGTATGGTGCCAAGGACTGCTATTTTTCACTATAAGCCTTACAGAACTATTTGACTTTAAATTATTGTACACGTCTAATTTTGTCTAAAAAATAAAACAAAAAATATAAATTAAAAACTACTACCATGCTTAGCATTATTATTTTTTTTCCTATTAATGAGGACTTAGAGAATATAAATTGGGGAAATGATTGTAAAACTTCATCCCAAAGTTTGCATCTCAAAGGTATTTCTGGCTTCAAGAAAACTATTTTACATTTCACTTTTTTTTTTTTTTTTTGAGACAGGGTCTTGCTTTTTCTGCCCAGGCTGGAATGCAGTGCCATGATCATGGCTCACTGCAGCCTTGAACTCCTGGGCTCAAGCGATCCTGCTGCCTTAGCTTCCCAAGTAGCTGGGACCACAGGCAGGCACCACTATACCTGGCTTATTTTTTTATTTTTTGTAGTGACAGAGTCTTGCTATGTTGCCCAGGCTGGTCTTGAACTCCTGGCCTCAGGCAGTCCTTCTGCCTCAGCCTCCCAAAGTGCTGGAATTACAGGTGTGAGCCACTACACCCGGCTTTATTATTATTATTTTTGAGACAGAGTCTCACTCTGTCACCTAGGCTGGAGTATAATGGCACCATCTTGGCTCAATGCAACCTCCACCTTCCAGGTTCAAGTGATTCTCCTGCCCCAGCCTCCCAAGTAGCTGAGATTAGGCACCTGCCATGACCACGTCTGGCTAATTTTTGTATTTGAGTAGAGATGGGGATTCACCATGCTGCCCAGGCTGGTCTTGAACTCCCGACCTCAAGTGATCTATCTGCCTCAGCCTCCCAAAGTGCAGGCATGAGCCACCACATCCAGCCTGCACCTGGCTTTATTTAACATTTACTCTAGGGTTTTCTTCAACTTTCTGTGTAATGTTTTCCTCCGATATTATAAATTATTTGAAGGGGCTTACAATACTATTCAATAAAATAGGCTGTGTATCACAAACTATTTTAGGGAAAGAGCAAGAGAACTAGTTTCTTTGGAAAAGCAGCTCATTAAGGACCTTTAAGTTTAACCTGTTCGATCCCTGCAAGGATATAGTTTTGTTTCAGTCAGGTTTTAAAGGTAAATATTAAAGATCAATAATTCACCTCAGACTCTGACTCAAAGGAAAATGGATATCAAAATCATAGAAACATTTTATTTCTTACCACCTGCTCCTTCCAAAATGCCCCGGACTACTGCCTGAACACCATTAGGTCTCATTAACCTTTCAGAGAGCAGCTGTCCACATAGACGCCGAAGCCAAGCTGGGGCCCGACACCTCAGTTGTGTCTTCACATCTGTACAGGACTGAGAAAAAGAAGAAGGTGTGAATTCTGAATGTCATTGAAATAGATACGACAGCCAGGCACGGTGGCTCATGCCTGTAAAAAAAAAAAAAAAAAAGAAATAGCTATGATATGTAATATTTATTTATTTAGAGATGGAGTTTTACTCTTGTCACCCAGGCTGGAGTGCAATAGAATGATCTTGGCTCACTGCAACCTCTACCTCCCAGGTTCAGGCACTTCTCTTGCCTCAGCCTTCTGAGTAGTTGAGATTACAGGCACGTGCCACCATGCCCAGCTACTTTTTGTATTTTTTGTAGAGAGGGGAATTCACCATGTTTGCCAGGCTGGTCTTGAACTCCTGACCTCAGGTGATCCATCCGGCTCGGCCTCCCAAAGTTCTGGGATTACAGGTGTGAGCTGTCAGGCCGGGCTAGACATTTTTTTAAAGTCCTGAGTCATGACAACTAACAGTGTGCTATACAGACTTCAAAAGAGCAATATTGTTTCCTTTAAAAAAAAAACTTTACAAGGGCCAGGAGCGGTGGCTCAAGCCTGTAATCCCAGCACTTTGGGAGGCCGAGGCGGGTGGATCACGAGGTCAAGAGATCGAGACCATCCTGGTCAACGTGGTGAAACCCCGTCTCTACCAAAAATACAAAAAATTAGCTGGGCATGGTGGCACGTGCCTGTAATCCCAGCTACTCAGGAGGCTGAGGCAGGAGAATTGCCTGAACCCAGGAGGCAGAGGTTGCGGTGAGCCGAGATCGCGCCATTGCACTCCAGCCTGGGTAACATGAGTGAAACTCCGTCTCAAAAAAAAAAAACAAAAACAAAAAACTTTACAAAATCTTCCGCATTATTTTCAACAAAGTAATAAACAGTGAAAAATCAATGAAATTTCAAACTCAGAAACAGACATTTGCATCAGTGATTCAAACATAGATCTTGGGAATACTAAGTGAATGTAACCAATCTCTGACCGTAGCCCTGACAATTAAATCCAGCTCCCAAGGAAGGTCCTTATGAACGTTATTTGCCACTAAGAGGGTGGTTCACAACAGGGAGGGAACACTCTAGCCCTTGCCTCTGTGGCTTTAGCAAATCTGATTCCTGTGACACAGTTCCAAGTAAGAGTTGGATTCCTTTTTTATTTCTTTTCTGCCCCAGTCTGATCTGCAAGAAAGAGTTGGATTTCTTCAAGGGTTTCTTTCTGGGAGTTCTGTGTTGCCACAGTGAATAAACAGACTTGGTGTCCCTTACTGCTGAGGGTGGAATAAACTCACTTATTGGCTGGTTTTTGCATGCACCTCTCAGCTTATTCCTCTTCTGTCTTTTCAGAGTGACTGCACATTTGGTTCTGCTTTTTCTTGCTAGGTATTTTTCAGAGGCCTATCCCCTGCAGAAGGTGCTGCAGTTTTGTTTGTTTGTTTTGTTTTTGAGATGGAATTTCCCTCTTGTTGCCCAGGCTAGAGTGCAGTGGCATGATCTCCACTCACCCCAGCTTCCACCTCCCGGGTTCAAATGATTCTCCTGCCTCAGCCTCCCGAGTAGCTGGGATACAGGCATACGCCACCACGCCCAGCTAATTTTGTTATGTTTAGCAGAGACGGGGTTTCTCCTTGTTGGTCAGGCTGGTCACGAATTCCGACTTCAGGTGATCCTCCCTCCCCAGCCTCCCAAAGTGCTGGGATTTACAGGCGTGAGCCACCATACCTGGCCTCAGTTTTAATGTTCTAGCACTTATTTTGGGCTAGAACATTAATCATGTTGCCGTCAACCATTGCACTTAAGTATGTAAGCATCAAAATTAGTAACAGAAATATTTCATCCCAACTCTCTTGTCTTCTCTCTTTTACTGAATTATTCCCATTTACTGAGGGGATTATGATGTGCCAGGCACGGCATAAGTAACTCCCATATAATCTCAAAAGGGACTTCAAGGAAGGCATTGTGATTATCCCTATCTTATGGGTAAGAAACCTGAAGAATGGAAAGGTTGACAAATTCAAATATCTGCACATTGGGGTTGAATCCCGGAGGGGCCTGATGGAAGTAAGATTCTAAGGATGAGACAAAAATTACTCAATTAGGAGATACCTTTGCAGCCAGCTTCAGCTGGTCCTTGCTCCTGACGTACAGCTAATTCCCTTGGCTCCTCACTCTTTTCCTTTTCTAAGACAAGGTCTCACTCTGTTGCCCAAGTTGAAGTGCAGTGGCCTGATCACAGCTCACTGCAGCCTCAACTTTCTGGGCCTGAGGAATCCACCCACCTCAGCCTCCAGAGTAGCTGGGGCTACAGGTGCACACTACCACACGTGGCTAATTTTTTATTTTTTATCTTTTGTAGAGATAGGGGTCCTGCTATGTTGCCCAGGTTGGCCTCAAACTCCTGATCTCAAGTGATCCTTCTGCCTCAACCTCCCAAAGTACTGGGTTTACCTGTGCTAGCCATAGTGCCTGGCTGGCTCCTCACTCTTTACACACCTAGATTCATAACGAAAATGTAGGTACTAAAAATAAACAATTCCAGCTATATCATCAAATTAAATCATTTCAGATAAACATTATTTTTAAGAAAACAAAGAAACTATCTTATCCCTAGCAGAATATATACTACTATATGTTTTCAAACAAAGTAACTAAGAATAGCACCAATAAGATCTCTGGTTTTTTTCTTTTCTTTTTCTTTTTTCTTTTTTTTTTTTTTTTTTACAAATCTCAAAGTCCTAAACCTGGAAAGATCTCTGGTTTTAATTTCTTGACTTCAAATACATAATCCATTCAAAGGATTGAAGTGTCCAGATACTTCTGCTGAAAGAACATTTTGTCAAACAGCCAAATTTTAGTTAAAAAAAAAAAAAAGATCCAGTTTCAAAATGAGTAAAATAAATCTCGCATAAAACTGCCATAAGTCTTAAAAAAAGTGATCATAATATTCTTGGGAAAAGTGTCCATCATTTCATTAGGGAAAGGTCTTTTTGCCGGGCACGGTGGCTCAGGCATGTAATCACTGCACTTTGGGAGGCAGAGGCAGGCTGATCATGAGGTCAGGAGTTCAAGACCAGCTTGACCAACATGGTAAAACCCCATCTCTACTAAAAAAAAAATACAAAAATTAGCTGGGCCTGGCAGCGCGCACCTGTAATCCCAGCTACTCAGGAGGCTGAGGCAGGAGAACAGTGTGAACCCAGAAGGTGAAGGTTGCAGTGAGCCGAGATCGAGCCACTGCACTCCAGTCTGGAAGACAGAGCGAGAATCCATCTCAAAAAAAAACAAAAAACAAAAAACAAAGAGAAAAAGTCTTTTAAATTATACTAAGGGTCAGTGTCATTTAGTTTTTAAGTATCGTTTTATGATCTAAAAGATGAAATAAGGCTCAACTAAATTATTAAAGAGGGAGCTAAAATTATCTAATTTTCCAGAAGAAGACAGCATACCACATACATTATTATTAAAGAGTCACCCCCAAGAGTGCCCAGGCCTGAGTACCTGGGGTGGTCCTCCTTGGAGGATAAGTAGTTCCCTGACTGCTAAGGGCTGATAGACTTGATCCAACATGTCTCTCAAGGCCCCCCTGGATAGGGTTCTCTCCTCTTCAGTTAGAACCTAAAAGAAAGAAGCACTTGGCTTTAGTGGAATTCAAACCAGGCAGACAATAGAAAGTAATGTTTTACAACACTGTACAGGGATACCTGTGAGAGGAGAGGAAGGCAGGCTTCTATCCTCTCTCAATTTCCTTCCACCTGGGGGAAGATGTTCTAAAACATTCCTGGCCCTCTCTCCATTTCGCTCTTCTGGGCAAGTTATGAGACTGATGTTATTGCTGAGAGTGGCATAAACTCACTTATTGGCTGGTTTTGGCATGCATCTCTCAGCTCGTTCCTTTTCTGTCTTTTGAGAGTGACTGCACATTTTGTTCTGCTCTTTTGTGCTGGGTATTTTTCAGAGGCCTATCCCCTGAAGAAGGCACTGCAGTTTTCCAGTGCTCCTTAAAATGGGTGAGTAGTGAGAGTGTCTAATTCTGGAGAGCACTTTCAGAAAGACCTGTCTCCTGCCAGGTGCGGTGGCTCATGCCTGTAATCCCAGCACTTTGGGAGGCTTAGGTGGACGGATCACCTGAGGTCCGGAGTTTGAGACTGGCCTGGCCAACACGGCAAAACCCCGTCTCTACTAAAAATAGAAAAATTAGCAGGGTGTGGTGGTGTGCACCTGTAATTCTACCTACTCAGGAGGCTGAGGCATGATAATTGCTTGAACCTGGGAGTCAGAGGTTACAGTGAGCCAAAATTGTACCACTACACTGCAGTCTGAGTGACAGAGCAAGACTTCATCTCATAAATAAATAAGCTGGGTGTGGTGGTGCATGCCTATAATCCCAGCTACTCTGGAGGCTGAGGCAGGAGTATCTTTGGAACCCAGGAGGCAGAGGTTGCAGTGAGCTGAGACTATGCCACTGCACTCCAGCCTGGGCAACACAGCAAAGCTCCAACTCAAAAAATAATAATAACAAATTAAAAAAACTCTTACTCTTCTTAACTCTCTTTTAATTCATTTGGAACTTGGGCAGCAAAGAGGCGTATGATTGTGGGGTACTCTTGAGCCTTAACAGTACAGTCCTCCTTGGTGATTACTGCTCAGAGTCAGTCAGGGTCCCACCCATTGCCGATTCACACACTGAGGTATCGGTGCAACTTAGAACACAGATACTGATGGGAATTTGTCCAGCTTCATAAAGTACGCCCAGTGTTGTTTCCCCTCTGTCAACTCCTTCTCCTGTCTTCCTACTTGGCTCTCTCTGTGTGTCTTTTTTCATTTATCTCTCCCTCCTGAGATCCTGGGAACAACTTAGCCTCAGTAACAGTAATAGGACCTGTCAACCGGGTCCCACTACGTCAGGGAAGTGCAGGCAGGAGGTGCTGCCAGAAGCGTCAATCATGTATAACCCTGCCGGAAAGAGGGGGCACTCTGCTCCTATCACATAAAGGCCCTGGAGAGCTCAGAATTTCATGCCAACATTTGGATCATAGCGGCTTTTAGGCAAATGTTTATGAATGTAGGCAGGAGAGAGAAGAGAAAAGGAACAAGAACAAGGGTGACACAGGCAGGTGATAGAGAAACAAGAACATTGTGAAGCCTGGCTGTGGAGGCTGGGGAATCACTGCCCATGGGAGCCGCACTGACCCTTGAGACATTTACATCTCAACAGCTTCTGCTGGCTAGTCCCTATGCTGATGCCAGTGGTCCTCTCATGGAGGAGCAGTGGTTCCTGCTATGTCATGCCAGTAGGTCTTATCTTCCCAATCAGTGTGTGAGTTATTTGAAGAAAAGGACCATGTCTTATGCTTCTATGATCTCCACAGCAACTTCTGTAGTCTGGATGCTCAACTGCTTATGTGACTAAGTGACAGCAAAAAATGGGCATATACCCCTAACACCTAATAATGGACACTGACAGAGTTATGTAGTGTACCACGTGTTCTACACATGTTATCTCATTTAATCTTCCCACGAATTTAATGAGGGAGCCATGATACTAACATTAGTAGTAATTATATGAGCACTACTAGAGGTTGGGCCAGATATTTGACACACATTATCCTTAATCCTTATGACCACCTTCCAAGGCAGGTATTATGATACACATATTTTTTTTGAGCCAGAGTTTCGCTCTTGTTGCCCAGGCTGGAGTGCAATGGCGCAATCTTGGCTCACTGCAACCTCTGCCTCCCGGGTTCAAGCGATTCAGCCTTCCGAGTAGCTGGGATGTGCCACCGTGCCCATCTAATTTTGTATTTTTAGTAGAGATGGGGTTTTTCCATGTTGGTCAGGCTGGTTTCAAAGTCCCGATCTCAAGTGATCCACTCACCCCAGCCTCCCAAAGTGCTGGGATTACAGGTGTTAGCTACCGTACCTGGCCTGGTACATACTTTATAGAAGAAACAGATGCTCAAAGAAACAGCCTGCAATAGCTGTTTCCAAAAATGGCAAAGGACAGGTGAAATGGACTCTACAGGTGTGCAAGGGACAAGCACTCAATAAATGAAACCTCCACCCACCCCCAAAAGATTCATTTATCCATTAGACATGCTTTGGCATAACCGGTTCTGAAGAACTAAGAGTTGTCTTTTATAACAGCTATCCATGAAAATATACACATATTCACATGCACACAATCTCTCTTTCTCAATTTTACCTCTTCTGCAGGTGTTAGTAGTTTGCTTTTGGTTGGGCAGAATCCCAGTTGGCACAGACCTGCTGCAATATCCCCAAAATGGTGGCAGAATATCAAGCTCCCCAGTGATGTGTGTTCAGCAACATTCAGAAGGGCCCTGCAGCTAGTGTACAGTCTCCGAGTTGCATCAGGGGCAGCATCGAGACATACCACGTCTTGAACGACGGCACCAAACTCAGTTCTGTATCTCAAAGGGACTCCAACACCAGGCATGAGATAGGGGCAGATGCCCAAGGTCACTACAAACTGCAAAATGAACTGGACAGTCTTCTGCTGTGAGATACTAAGTGCATCAGGGCTCAGGGCAGGAGCAACTTCTGGAGTCCTGGGGTTGGGTTTACCTGGATTGAAATTAGCTGCAAGGCGGATCATGGTTTCCTTTAAGCACAAAAGCAACAACAAGGTTTGAGAGGTAAAGCTCCAAGTGACATCTATAGAGTTTTGTGGCCATTCTGCCTTATCAGCAATTTGATCTCTTAGGAGTTTCAGTTTCTTCCACTGAGGATCCTTCAGAAACTTGTCCTCCAAAGCAGACAGGTTAGATTTTAAAGTAGCCAACAAGACATCATGTTTTGTGACCTGTAGTGAACTTGAACCTGATCCTTTTGAAGAAAAAAAAAAAAGAAAGGAGAGATTATACACATAGAAATCAAACTGTACTTCTCCCTGTGGAATGCCCTGCGTACTCCAGTTCCTCCTCAGCGGCCTGGCTCTGCCATCACTGGCACTGGAAAGCCTCCCCCAGGGGTACCACCCCAGCTTATGAAGAATTTAAGACCACATTTTCTGCTTTCCCACAGCACTTTGCATGTAATTGGAGTAGTGTCCTAACATGTTATACTTCATCTAGTTTGTTTCTATTCCCCACGTTTTGAGGGCAGAGACCAGGTCTTAATCATCTCACTGGGCTTAAATTGTAGCCAGAACAGAAATTTAGAAGCTGTTTTACCATAAAACATTCATTCGGTCCAGCTGTTCTAGGTGCTGGGGATAAAGCAATGAACAGAGGGCTGGACACAGTGGCTCACGCCTATAATCCCAGCACTTTGGGAGGCTGAGGTAGGCAGATCATGAGGTTAGGAGTTCAAGACCAGCCTAGCCAACATGATGAAACCCTGTCTCTACTAAAAATAAAACAAAATTAGCTGGGCATGGTGTTACACACCTGTAATCCCAGCTACTCGGGAGGCTGAGGCAGGAGAATTGCTTGAACCCAGGAGGCGGAGGTCGCAGTGAGGTGAAATCGCACCATTGCACTCCAGCCTGCGCAACGGAGCAAGACTCCGTCTTGAGGGGAAAAAAAAAAAAAAGCACTGAATAGAACAAAGGCTCTGGCCAGGCACGGTAGCTCACACCGGTAATCTCAGCACTTTGGGAGGTCAAGGTGGGATGGTTGCTTGAGCCCAAGAGTTCAACAACAGCCTGGGCAACACAGTGAGACCCTGTATCTAAAAAAATTAAAAGAATCAGCTGGGTATGGTGGTACATACCTGTAGTCCCAGCTACTCAGGAGGCTGGTGAGAGGACTGCTTGAGTCCAGGAAGTCAAGGCTGCAGTAAGCTGAGACTGTGCCACTGCATTCCAGCCTGGGTGACAGAGCAAGACCCAGTCTTGAAAACTAAAAACAGTAACAACAAAAAAACAGAACAACGGCTCTTTCCTTGTGGGACTTATGTTCCAGTGAGGAAGATCACAAAATATGGTAACAGAGCTCAAACAGATTAGTTTAACCACATCATTTCCCCCCAGAATATGTATTTTCTTTTTTTTTTTTTTTTTGAGACGGAGTTTC